TCCCCACTGCAGCCAGGGGAGCCGCCCGGTGCCGCTGCTGCTGTGGCTTTGGGCCTGGAGGACAGGCCAGGGGTCAGTCCTGCCCACCCTGCTGGGCCTCCGTCCTCCTCCCGCCCAGCCCCACGCAGGTTAATTATAACTCTGACCTAAGTGCCCTGTGACACCGCACTGGCCGCCCTGCTAGACCCAGCCGCCAGGTAGGGGGACTCCTGTGCTGGGGTGGAGGGGTGTCAGGCTGGGTGGGGAGGGGTCCCCGGGGGAGGAGCCTCGGCCCCTCTTGCTGGTGTAGGTCCCAACTGGCCCGAGAAGGCCCTCAGGTTGTCTGGGCAACGAGAGGGCAGGAAGCAGCTGGAGCAGCTGGAGCTTGAGGCAAAGCAGAAGCGGCCCCACAGGTGCCCAGGGACACAGCCGCCTGCCCTGGGATTGCTTCTCCCTCCTCCCATGCGAGCCCTCTGTCCCCCAGGTCTGCGTCCGCTATGCCCCCCACCCACGTGCCCCTGGCCCTGGGCTCCGTGCTGCTGCTGCTGCTACAGCTGCTGTCCCCCACATCTGCCTTCTTCCCCAACATCTGGAGCCTCCTGGCCGCCCCTGGCTCTGTCACCCACCAGGACCTGACGGAGGCGGCGGCTCTCAATGTCACTCTGCAGCTCCTCCTGGAGCGGCCGCCCCCGGGCCGGCCCCCCCTTCGTCTTGAGGACTTCCTGGTGAGTGTCCCTGGGTCCTGTCACATGCCAGCCCGACCCCGGCGGTCCTGGGGCCTCTACTCCCTGAGGTCCTGCTTGCCTGTCCCCTCCTCTCTACCCCCTGCAGCCACAGCACCCAGGATCCCTGGTCCTGAAATCAGGAGTCCCTCCCGCTGAGGAAGATCCCGGGTGGCCCCGAGGGGTGCCCGCCGCGCCCTTCCACACAGCCTTGCGTGCCAGTTCCCGAGGAAGCGTGGGCAATGGCCCAATCCCAGGGGCTTCCCTGAGCCCGTCCCCTGCCCTCTCCCAGGGCCGCACCCTCCTCGCCGATGACCTCTTTGCCTCCTACTTCGGACCTGGGTCCCCTTCCCGGCGGTTCCGAGCAGCCTTAGGCGAGGTGTCTCGTGCCAATGCAGCCCAGGACTTCCTGCCAACTTCCAGGAACGACCCTGACTTGCACTTTGATGCCGAGCGGCTGGGCCAGGGGCGCACACGCCTGGTGGGGGCTCTGAGGGAGGCCCTTCATGGGCAGAGGGCCCTTCACTGCCAGTCTTCCCGTCTCCCGGGTGGCGCCTTCTTGACCAGGCCTCTGGAAGGGACCGGGGCCCTGTCTGCCAAGGCCCTGAGCCACCCCCTGGTCCCCGCGTCCACACGGCAGGTGAGGGCTGGCAGCCGAGACAGCCAGTGCCGTCCCTCTCCTTCCCCGGAGCAGGACTTCTACAGTCACAGCAACTGGGTGGAGCTGGGGCAGCAGCGGCCACACCCGCACCTCCTCTGGCCACGGCAGGAGCTGGGGAGCCTGGCACAAGGTATGGCCGCCGCCTCGCCTCCGCTCTGGAACGCCCTCCAAGGCCCCGCAGCTCGACCCGAGGCCAGGCCGTCGGGTGGCTTCCCTGCGGTCGCCGGGAAGGACGGCCAGGACCAGGCTGCAGGCCCCGCTGCGTCCCTCCCACATGCTTCCCCGCCCCCCGGGTCCACGGGGCTTTCTCTCTCGGTCCCTCAACCTCCCAGCTGAGCAAGACCGCAGCTGCCTCCTGTCCCACCGAAGCTCACTTCCTGTGCACAGCGCGCAGGGGTTGGCCCCACACTGCTGGCGTCCCTGGCACAGTCCCAGCCGCAGATCCTGTCTCACCATCAGCCCCTGAGCTCCAGGGTCAGTTCAGGGAGCCTAGGGGGCGCCTGGGACGGCTCCCTGAGGGCTGGCGCCTCGGCAGCGGAGGAAAAGCTGAAGTTTGGGTGGACAGGGTTGGGGTCGGGGCCGCAGGGTCTTGGGCTCTAGACCTTGCCCCTCCCTTTGCAGTGGGAGATCCTACCTGCGCAGATTGTGAGGAGCTGAGCTGCCCTGGGAATCTGCTGGGTTTCACACGCCTCACCTCTGGCTACTTTGGAACTTATCCCTCCAAGCCTCCAGGTACCAGACAGAAAAGCCCTCGGAAGTAAGGGGAGAGTCACCTCCCTTCCCGGACTCTGTCCCCAGGGCCCTCAGTCTCTAGGTCCTCGCCCCACTTCCTGGAAGGGAAGGGCTGGGTGGATGAGGGCCTGCCGAGTGGCCAGGACTTGTTGGGGGAGGGGCGGGAGCAGCTCATGAGACCTCCATTGCCTGAGGGCAGCTTCTGGGGATGGCCTGGGGGCTGGGGATCCCTCATGTGCTGTGGGATGACCCTCCAGAATGTCATCACTTCCTGCCGGTCCTTCGCTGAGCAGTGAGAGGGCCAGGCCCGCTCAGAAAGGCCCCATCTCTTAGGGGGCAGTGGGTTTTCTACTCCCACCTCCAGATCCCTTTCCCCACCCAGGAAAATGCAGCCACGGGGGCCGTTTTGACCAGAGCAGCTCTCAGCCACCCCGGGGAGGCATCAACAAGGACAGCACAGCCCCGGGCTTCTCCCCCCACCACACGCTCCACCTCCAGGCTGCAGAACTGGCCCTTCTGGCCTCCATCCAGGCCTTCGGGCTCCTGCGGAGCCGCCTGGGGGACCGGGGCTTCTCCAGGTGAGTGGCCCTGGAGGCGGGCTCCCTAGGAGCTCCCTGGGGAGCTGCGAAGCCGGGGCTGGGGACCGGTGGGCAGACCCTCCCTGTGGCTCTCTGCAGGCTGCTGGACATCACCCCTGCCTCCAGCCTGAGCTTTGTGCTGGACACCACGGGCAGCATGGGCGAGGAGATCAACGCCGCCAAGATCCAGGCTCGCCACATTGTGGAGCAGCGGCGGGGCGGCCCCATGGAGCCCGCCCACTACGTGCTGGTGCCTTTCCACGACCCAGGTGGCCGGTCTGGCGGGAGAGTGGAGGGAAGGAAAGCGGCAAAGGTGTGCCGTGGGCAGTGGGCCTGCGCTTGCCTCGAACAATCGCCGCTGCGTCCACTGCTCCCAAAGGGCAGCAGGTCACAGCGCTTCCTTCCCCAGCACCCACGCTTAGGCAGTGGCCCTGCTTTCTTAGCCTCCAGTCATTTTCAGGTCTCTCTACTTCCCACAGACCGAGGAGGGGATGCGGGGGCGGGGGGCGGGGGGTTGGT